CCAGCGTTAAGCTGGTCCGGGCCTTCGCGATGCTAGCACCGCCTTGATGCCATCGCGACTGCGGAGTCGTCTTGCTCGGCATTTCCCGAGCAACCAACCTGGAGGGAAGGGAGACGTTATGACGCGCGGCCCGGCCTATTGTTTGATCGATTGAGACAAACCAGCAGGTCTTGTTCATGTAAGAAACGTGAGTCGTGAAGCAAGTGTGAAGGGTGTTAACGTGTCCAGGTAGTAGGGCGTGCGCCGGATAGGCGCCCGCCTCTTAAGCGTTCAGCGGTAGTTTATGTAGTCGGGGAAGGTCAGGGAGATGGCTAATCGGGAGGAGGGTTCAGGATCGCTACAAAGGCAAGGACAACGGGAGGAACGCAAACCCACCAGGAGAGGAAGTCCAGATGTCTGAGGAAGACCTAATCAGAATCCTCATTGCTAAATGTTACGAGGATGGCGTCTTCCCGAAGAGGATGCGTCACGGGGAATTTGTCGTGGAGAACGGGATTCGGGTCTTCAAGGTAAACCCGCAAATAGACCGGTTGACAACTGCTTGGCTCAAAGAGCGTACGGTCACGGTCATTTTTCCAGGGGGCTGCAAGGGGCTTATCAGTGAAAACGCGGGAGGACCTCATACGGGCGTATGAGAACGGATGGTTTCGGAGCAGGACGTTCTCGAGGGGCTTCAAAAGAGGGCGGGTACATGGGGAGGGAGCCAATGCTATGTCGTATGTTGCAAAGTCAAGTGAGGAAGCGCAGTGGTTGGTGGCTAAAGGAGAGGACGTGGTGGTTATCAGGGGAGTAGAATACAAGATGCTCTTCAAGCCTTGGTTCACTAGAGCGGAGCTGGAAGACCGGCGAAGGCAGGAGGAGGAGACGAAATTTCGGGTTACAGCAATCAGAGTGCCTCTGAGGGCAATGTTCCATGTTCCAGATTTGATACAACAATCGATGGGGGCAATTATTTTGCAACACCCGCCTGAACCGGATGCCGCTCGTCCCAAGCTAATGAATCTCAAGTTTGAACTATCAAGGGATGCAGAAGAAAGATTCGAGCCCACCCTGGCAATGAAGTTAGAAGATGGGGAACTGTACAACGTCGAGTTGGTGTGTAAAAACACCTCGTGGTGTACCCGTTGTCGCTGGTGGTATCATACGGAGTCAGTGGGTTGCCCAAGAGCGGGGGAAGGGGAAAAAGCGACGGGGTTTGGGGCTTCGGGAGGTGAGCGCGACCGCAACCGGGGATGGAACCAAGGGGAAGTAGTGTTCCAGAGGGGGATAAGAGAAGAGGCTAGGGACGTGGCGTTTCCTCAGGGCGGTGCGAGGGGGACGAACTTGACAGGAGGAGGAACGAGGGATGTTCACCTTCGAGCGCCAAGATCGGGGTCCCATGTAGCAAGCCAGAATCAAGGAAACGGAGAGCAAGCGGATGCTCGGGCGGCCACCCCACCGGCAAGCAGGCTAGCTGGGACGGGAGGAGCAGGGGAAAGGGTAGGGGGGCTGCCTGTCGGTGCGGGAGGAGCGGAGCATATGGGGACAGCGATGACGTGGGGACAGTACCAGGGCCAAGGTGATCCATATCTGCAGCTCGTTCAACAAAATCCCATGTGGCAACAGCCCTTGTTGGGAGGAACGCCGCAAGGCTATTGGGCAGGACTGGGATACCCCGGGATGCAATATTTAAACCAGTACCTAGGTTATTTAAGCCAGAGGTCAGGAGAGGGGCTCGGAAGGCAACCCCAAGGAATCGGAGCGTCGCAACCGGGACTATTGGAAGAAGCGGGGTGAAGGAAGTGAGGATAGATTACTAGGGTGGCCAAGAGCGTGCTCAGGGACAGGCTAGCTCGTCTCAGCTCTCAAGTGCAGGCTCAAGGCAAAACCAGGGAGGTGAGGGAGAAGGGTCATATGCGATTGCAGATGGAGTGGTGTCGAGGAGAGCGGATGAACAGGTACATGAAGAGAAGTTCATTTTACCATTGGTATGCACTATGTTGGGAGAATAAGCCTTTATCCTCGGTAGGTTCTGCTTTCGACTATTTTCGGAGGAAGTGGTTCCGAAGATTACAATTGACACTCCGGCCGGCAAAAGGATTAAATTCTACATTCCATTGGTTGACGCCCGCATCCCGGTACCGCACTGGGAGGGGCTTCCAGCGATAGGACTTACCTGTATCCCTCTTCGAGTTTTGTTGGAAGCATCGTTGGCGGAATTGTCGAATGTATTGGTCGAACCAGGAGTAGCGGCCAATTTCTTGAGGGCTTTGAATGAGAGGATGCCGTTGGATAAAAATTTGGAATCAGGCTACATACAGGAAGTGTTGAAGGAGACCTGGCAGATTGAGTCTCCAGCTCCAGGAGGAGGCCAACGAGAGGGATCAGAAACAGAGCACATCCAAGACACAAGTGCACCGGAAGGACTCGATGGTTAAGCTTAAAATTGCAACGTGGAATGTCAGGGGCCTAGGGGATACGGGAGGAAGGCAGAAAGGGTGTCGACTGAAGGAGTGGATACACGATCAACAGGCCGATGTCATTCTAATACAGGAAACAAAATTGTCGGAAAGTAAGCTGGCACAATTGAGGGATTGGTGGGATGGGCCCCAACTCTGGTCACCAGCGAGAGGTTCCAGAGGGGGGATTGCCATTCTAGTTCATAGGAGGATAGAGGCGGAGCTGATAGATTATGATGCTGATTTATGGGGAAGGTGGGTTTGGCTTAAGCTATTCTGTGAGGGGTTAGAGATAGTGGTGGCTACAGTTTACGCACCTAATGAACCTAGGGAGAGGGCGGATTTCTTCAAAGCCCTTCCCTATTGTCTGCTGAAATCGGAGCACATGGTTGTAGGGGGGGACTGGAACGTGGTGTTGAACCCAGGGGTTGATTCGGAGTCTGCGGAGGGCATGAGGAGAGATAGGGAGACCCTACTTCGATGGAAGGAAGCATGGGGTCTGGAGGACATCTTCAGAACCATGCACCCAGTTAGCTCAGGGTACACATGGTTTGATGGTACTGCAGCTGCTGCTGGAGCCAAACGTCGCCTGGACTTTTTTCTTACGGCGGGAATTTTCTCAGATGGAGCTCAGAAAGTGGGGGAGCGAAACGACTCGTTGGCGGACCACAAGCCTGTGGTGCTGGAGGTGCTTTTAACAGCTCAGAACAGGAGGGGTCCGGGGATCTTTAAGCTTAACGTCCAGAACTTGGAAGATGAAGGCTGGGTGGAATGGGTGCGACTGTTTTGGCAAGACTGACAGACAGCAAAAGAGAAGTTCGAAGCCTATCAAGAGTGGTGGGATGCAGGCCTCATGATCATTTCAGCAAAGTTCGAGGTCTTCTCAAGGATAGCAGCTGCCAGCCGCAGGAAACAAGAAGAGGATTGCAGAAAGAAAGTGGATGAGGCGGAAAGAAGAATGGGGGAACACCCTATCTCAGACTGGGTGTGGGCGGAAGAAAGGGCCAGCAGGTTACGGGAGTGGGAACAGCTGCAAGTGGAGAAGCAGGAGAGGTGGCAAGGGATTTTGAAGGAAAAGGGGATCATTAGCAGCGACAGGATGTCAAGAGAGACTTTCCGGAGGCTACTTCCCAGACAGCGGATGGCGCAAATGAAGGAGCTACAGCATCCGCACCTGCCAGGTGAACCAGTAGCAACAACGAATGAACGCATGTGTGAGTATGCAGCAGTGTACTTCAAGGATATCCTAACGACCAGAAAGTCCCACTGGAATTGGGAGACAGACCTCACAGAGAGTTCCAACTTCTGGGACACACTA